ATACCATCACTTCCTCTGTATGATATTGGTCACAGAGACTAACTATGGTGCAGTTGTGGGGGAGGGCTATACAGGGTGTGAATACCAGGAGGTGGGAATCAATGTGAGCCAACTGGAAGACTACCACAGTCCACCAAAGACCCATGTCCTTCCCACATGCAAAATATAGTCAACCTCTTCCAGAGTCCCCAGAATCTCATCCTATTATAGCATCTGCTTAATGTCCAGAATCTTTAATCTAAATCAGGTCTACATGTAATTATATTTCCTTAAATATAGTACAGTTCTTCTCGACAAGTTATTTTCCCCCACCATCCACTCTGTATTAGTCAGCTTAAGCTGCTATAACAAAATACCATAGACTCGAGGGCTTAAACAACAGACATTTATTTCTCACAGTGCTGGAGGCTGGGAGTCTAAGATCAGGGTATCAGCACAGTCAAGTTTGGGTGAGGACTCTCTTCCTGGTTTGGAGATGGCTGCCTATTTGATGTATCCTGACATGGCAAAGAAAGAGCTAGCTTAGAATGGTACTAATCCTGTTGCCAAGACCCCACTTTCATGGCCTCATCTAAACCTAATTACCTCTAATGGCTCCATCTCCAAATATCACGTTGGAGGGTAGGGCTTTCACTTATGAATTTTGAGGAGACACAAACATTCAGTCCATAACACCTTCCCCTACTGGACATACAATGGGACAGAGGTAGAATAACCACTCTAGACCCTTCTGGCCAAAAATGGAGAAAATGAGAGCCATGAGGAAGTTGTAGTCCATATAGATTCTAGAATCTAGCCAGGCAAATGTAAATTCCTTAGTTATGTCTCAAGGCTTGGGAACTGTACTCCAAGGCCCCAGGCTCTGCTCCCTGGGCTCTTGGTTCTTTCCTACCGGTCATTTGTCCTTTTTCATAAAAGTTATGTGTTTGCAGCTGAGTAATTTCTCAGTCTGCTTCTTGTCAGTAGAATTTTGAGGGCCCAAAGGCCTCTTTTTATTTGGTACTGTCCCTTTCAGTCCAAGCTGGGGATGGTTCTGTACATACAATTCTCTTTAAATCTTTATGGATTTTCTGTGACTCTCGTTGGGATCCACTCCATAGATGAAGACAATGCCCACAATTCTTTTTGAGATAAGTCCTTCCCTGCGTAGGGCTTCTGCAGAGAGCAGAGGGACAATAAAGCTAAGCTTTCTAGGAGCACTATCCTTTGACTGAGAGGATCTGGGAATGTCTTAGGCAGCTTGGGCTGCTATAACAAAATACCAAAGACTGGGTAGTTTATATATACAACAGAAATTTATTTCTCATAGTTCTGGAGGCTGGAAGATTGAGATCAGGGTGCTAGCATGGTTGGGTGAGGACCCTCTTCTGGGTTGCAGACTTCTTGTTTCCTCACATGGTAGAAAGGGGAAAGGGAGCTCTTTGGGATCTCATTCAGAGGGGCTCCATCCTCATGACCTAATCACTTCCCCAGGTCCCCACCTCCCAAAACCATCACACTGGGGATTAGGATTGAACATAGGAATTTGGAAGAACACAAGCATGCAGACCGTGGTGGTGAGGCACACCTCTGATCGCCTTAGAGGACCTTCTGTCTGACTGAGCAGTACTCTGGGATACTACCTTATATCTTTCTGAATCCTTAAAAACGATTTCACGGGGACACTCTAGGCTTTATCTCTGGTGCATAGTTTTCCTGGCAGAGCCCTCAATTTGATCTTTGCTTGGAAGCCATTCCTTAGTTCTAGCATAATTTGCCACCTGGAAAGGCTGAGAATTTTCAAGCCCATCCAGTTGTAGCTCCTTTCTTCTTAACAGCCCTTCCTTTCATTTATCTCTCTCCCCTGTAAGCAATCTGAAGAAACTAGGCAGCACTTTCAACACACTGGTTCAAAATTACGAGTCCCTTCGAGTTTTCTTCTGTCCACATAACTGCAGGCAACAGCATTACCAGGATACCCTTCCTTCAGTTCCTAAGAGCATTTGCCTCACTTTCCTGCAAGCTCTTACCTGAATCTTTAAAGACATTGACTCTGTTAACATTTTCTCCAAGGCACTTTAATTGCTGTGTCACAATGTAACCCAACATTTAGCAGCTTGAAACAATAGAAATTATCTTGCAGCTTCTGAGGGTCAGGAATCTGAGTGACTCAGCCAGGTGGTTCTGGCCTGGTGTCTCTCAGAAGGTTACTATCAATGTTATATTTCAGATGGCTGGGGCTGCTGTTATGTGAAACTTGATTGGGGCTGAGGATCCGTGTCCATGGCGGCCCAGGCACATGGCTATAGGTCAAAGGCTTTCTTTGCCCCATGGGCCTTTATGGTGGTACTCATGACATGGCAGCTGACTTCCCCCAGAGGAAGTGATGAGAGAGAGACAGAGACAGAGACAGAGATTGTAATATGGGAGCCACAGTGTCTTTTATAACCTAATACCAGAAGAGACATACCATCACTATTTCTGGATTCTACTGGCCACAGTAGAATCAGCCCTGGCACAATGTGGGACGGGAGTGGATTCCCAGAGGCAGGGAGTATTGTGAGTGATCTGGAAGTCTGACTACCACAAAATTATTTATGGGCAAAATGTCATGTTGTCTATAATTTACATCAGCAAAAAAAGAATTTGATGAAGCAAATTTAGCAAGCTATTAATAATAATTATATCTAAGTCTAGGGTATATAGGAGTTTATTGTACTCTTTCTACTTTTCTATATATTTTTAAATTTTCATTAAAAAAAGAGAAAAAAAGCTAATTTAGGCTTTCTGTCTGTCTGGAGGTGATGGCTTATTGGCTCAAGAATCTCCTAGGGGGGAAAAAAAAAGGAAAAAATAATTTTCTAGACACCAGCTACTTCCTTTTGTATCCAGCCTCTGACCTGCCTTCACCAGCAATACCTGCTCTGCACACAAGACTCAGTGCTTTCCCTGCTGGCTACCTACCGCTGTACTCAAGGGGCGGAAGGCTGAGTCAGCACCATCACCCCTAAGTGGTAACAGATGAACTGGAATAGGTTCTCCTCCAGGTACTTTGAGCTGCTCTGAAACACACCAGCACTTTTTCTGATTTTGATCCAAAATTTCTTCAGAGGAGCAGTTCCATGGAATACTTCTGACCTTGCCCTCAATATCAGTGTTAATCACAGGGTTTTAGCAGAGTCAGCGGTTTTGTTTAACTTTGCCTTTGCTCTGTTTGTTAATTCAGCTTGGGCTCATTCAGTCCCTGGAATTTAGTTCCTTATTTCATAATGAAAAATAAAACAACTTTGGAGGGAAAACCAGCTGTGACTGCTGAGTCACAGCTCTTTAATGTATTAAGGAACTCCATGAAATCCTAGTGTTCACTTACGCTGAGTTTCTATAAGAATGTAACTTTTAATTCTTTTCATTTTTCTTTCTTTTTTTCCTGGAGCCTGGGTTAAATATTAACTTGTGTGATGAATTTTCCAGAGGAGTTTAGAATTAAAATAGGTGAAGCTGAAAAACTGCCATTTGGGGTGTTGAAGCAATTTCTGCATTTTAGGATAGAAACAAGGATTTGTTCCTGGTTCTCAGTTTGCTCTGGGTGATAACACTCTGGTGACTTCTTTTAATTATTCAGATGTAACAAACAAACAAACAAAACCCAACAAGCAAACAAACAAAAGTACCTACCAATTATTTTGGAAAAACCCCTTCTCCCC